ATAAAATATTAACTAAGAAATCTTATATCTATACAGCATGACAATTATTTACTATGAAGATATAATTTTTAAAATTAAGATTAGAAAATTACTTACTTCATTTGTACAAAGAAAAACTGATATTTTTAGCAAATGTCCCACTGTAACTTACAGACAAAATATGAGATTTCCTGAAATTGAACTTTGAGGCAGGGGACTGTGGCTCATTCCTGTAATCTCGGCCCTTTGGAAGGCCAAGGCAGGAAGACTGATTGAGGCCTGGAGTTCAAGACCAGCCTGGGAAACATAGCAAGACCCTGTCTCTACAAAGAAACAATTAAAAAATTAGCTGGGCATGGTGGCACATTCCTGTAGTCCCAGCTACTTGGGAGACTGAGGTAAGAGGAGCACTTGAGCTCAGGAGTTGGAGGCTGCAGTGAGCTAGAGTCATTCTACTATACTCCAGGCTGGGCAACAGAGAAATTGTTTCTAAAAAAAAAAAAAATTAAACTTTGAAATAACCTGCCTGGATATTCAGCAATTACCTCGACCCCCTACACATTAAAAAATATTACGTAGCCATTTCAAATAACATTTTATTCCCTCAATCAACATGCTTGAAATATGCACCATTTTAGAAAGACTAGTAACTACTTCTTTGAAAAATATTAACATTTCAAAAATTTTACCAGATTTTCACCAATTAACCTTTAAAACACAAATTACAACTGAGCTGCCTAATTTTATCCTATTCTATAAAAGGACAATTTTACATGTGCTATGACCTCACTTTTATTCAGCTTGATAATAGGAGCTACATAAATACAAAATGGAACTACCAGTGCAAATAGATAACACATGGCATGGTTGAATATTAAAATAAGCACAATTGAGTTTTAAAGCAAATAGAATATGTTCCAGTAGAAAAGATTCACCCTGCAGTTTAGAGAATACCAGTAAGGGTACAAAATTGCCAAATTATGCATATACACATGCACATTGTATGCCACAATTGTATGTGGTTGTAATTAAGGAGAAAGGGAAAAATAGGTGTTCAGATGAGGCCTGAATTTATAATTGGCTCTATAATTTGAGTATTCATCCTTTCATTACCATCTTGCACTCTCTCTTCAATAGCCTCTTGTTAGGGATGATGCCCATTCATCATGTTTTTAGTTGCTCAGCCAAGTAAGTCTCTTCTCTAGCAGTTTGTTCTTACTGAGGTTCTTTATATCTGGGTTCATGCAAAGATTGATCATTTCTATAGGCTTTGGTTACTGGGTACTCTCTAATCGTTAAGACTTGTTCTGGGGACTGTTTGTCTTTGTATCATGGGCTATAATGCGTTTGTTTTCAATGAGTTTTCTATCTTGCTATATACCCCAAGGTTTTTGTGTGCTATTCCCAGCTGTCAAGAGCTATAATGCACTTCCACTTGTATTGTTTCATTTCATTGCTGATTCTTTAAATTTTTTACTAACACTGCCTACTATATGGCAGGCACTAATAATTTTTGAAGTTACAAAGTTGAACGAAATATAGACCCTTCCATGGACAAATTTACACTCTAGCGGGGGATATAAACAATGAAATAAATAATTATATAATTATCATTAAATGTTATTCAGGGAGAACTGAACAGAAAATAGAGGCAGTATTCTATAACATACAATAACTAGGCTGGCTATTAAAAGCTAGTAGAATGAAAGTACATTATATATGATAAAGGCAAAGACATTTGCATAAAATGAAGCATAATTACAAAACTATTGAAAATGTTTAAATTACTTTATTATTATCCAAGGTAGATTTAAACAATTGAATATAATTTATTTGCTCGTTGAATTAGCAGTTTAAAAAAATGAGGACACATAATGATGGTTAGGACTTACCAGGGATGCCAGTGCACGTATACATTTTTGGCAGCAAAATCCTTTCGGAAAACAATTTAGACATCATATCAAGAGCAACAGATAGATTTGTACACTTTGTTATGAATCTTCTAAAAACTGGGAGATATGCCAAATTATTTCTTATCTCCTAGAAAACATTCTTTGTAATGTTCAATAATTGAATAATTGAATTATGATAGAGCCATAATATAATCATTAAGAATGATGGCTAATTTCTTTCTTATTTGTATGTTTAGATTTCTCTGTAATCCTCATGTATTTTTATAACTATAAAGGTCACACAATACAAAAAATGCTTATACTATATTAAGATACGAAACTCCATGCAAAACATGTCTATAAAGTACAAAAAAAGGAACACCCTCACCATAAAACATACATAAAGGTCAGGCATGGTGGCTCACACCGTTAATCCTAGCACTTTGGGAGGCCAAGATGGGAAGATTGCTTGAGGCCAGGAGTTTGAGACCAGCCTGAGCAACATAGCAAGATCCTATCTCAACAAAAAAAATTTAAAAATCAGCCGGGTGTGGTGGTACGTGCCTATATTCCCAGCTACTCGAGTGGCTGAGGCAGGATCCCTTGAGCCCAGGATTTTGAGGTTGTAGCAAGCTATAATGACACAATTGCACTCTAGCACTGGCAACAGAGCAAGACTCTGTCTCCAAAAGATAAAACCATACATATGGGCAAAGAATGCAAGAGAATATACAAAAATAAACATAGTTTTTAATATTAGGGCTTTAGATTATGGGTGAAACTTTTCCATATTGCTACCTTATTTTAAAAATTCAAATATATTTTTTGTAGGATTCCATTTATGTAAAGTTAAGAAAAAGATAACCCCAATCCATGGTGTTAGCAGTCAGGATTATTTTTGGGTGGGAAGGTAGTGATCAGGAAGGGTGATAAGGGGAGGATGCTCTGGGATGTGGCTAAAGTTTTATTTCTTGATCTGGGTGCTGGTTATACAGGTGTATTCATTTTGTGAAAATTCAAACTGCACAATTACAATTTGTGAACTGTTCTGCATGAATGCAACACTTCAAATTAAGAAGTTTAAAATGTAATTTAAAAGTTACATAGTAGATCAGGCAACTTATCATATAGTTTGCTTTATTAATTATGTAGTAAATTATATAATACTAAAGTAATGATAAATATGTGGATATTTTCCAAAGTCATAACTACTACTTAGTGGTGGTCTCATTCTATTAATTCTCATCAACGAGGAAACTGAAAACTATGTTTTGGGTCTTTAGGCAGCATGTCTACTTTAAAAAAAGAAGAGGTCTCATATAATGGGTATAGAAAAAGAAAAAAAAAAGAAAAGAAAAAAAAGGAGGGAGGAGGAGTTAAGCATTTCCTAATATTTCCTATGTGTGACAAAATTATCCACTGTCTCACTATTGTAGTCCATAGCACTTAAGGCAGTCTTGCAATCTGTATACATGACTGTCCCTAAAAAAAAAAAACATAATTTCCTGGTCCCTCCGCCCCCTTAAGTCAGAAGATGAAAGTTTTTTTGTTTTTGAACGATCTACTGTGCCCAGGCTAGAGTGAGTGCGTGGTCAGCTAGCCACCAACCTCAAAATCCTGCTCAAGCGACCCTCCTGCCTCCAGCCTCCTGAGTAGCTGGAGAGTACCCGCAATGTGCCCACGCATCCCGCATAGTTTCCTATATACTATTGTGCCCAATTTATTCTTTCATTTTTATAGAGAACGGGTCTCCTACTGCTCACCACCGGTTTTTGAACCACCTGACCTTGATCAATCCTCCCGCCTCCCTCCAGAGTGCTAGATTACAGCGTGAGCAACCGCGCCCCGCCCATGAATTACACTTTTAAACCAGCTAGTAACTGTGTGCTCACATCACCAATCCTTTCCCAACACTTGGTGGATATTTGGCTGTCTGTGTTGATTGGTTTATATAAGAACTCAATTTAGATAATACAAATTTTGACTTATCTATGGTTGTACAAAATATTGTAATAGCCCAGGCCGTGGCCACTACATTTAATAAAATCAGAATGTTAAAATTCAGATATAGGATATACACTTAAAAGTATAGCCAGGCACGTGGCCTCATGCTGTAATCCTACACTCTGGAGGCCGAGCCGGAGAATACTCAGGGTCAGCGATCCGACAACCAGCCCTGAGCAAAGGAACTCCCATCTCTACTAAAAAAAATAAAAGAAACTAATGGCCAAATAAAATAAAGGAAAAATTAGCCAGGATCGGTGGCAAAGCCTTAGTCCCCCAGCTATTTGGGAGTCTAAGCAGAAGGACTGCTTGAGCCCAGCGAGTTTTGGGTGCTGTGAGATAGCAGATTGCCTGGCACTGCTAGCCTGCAATAGATGAGTCTCTCTCGTCCCCACACAAAAAATAGATGTATAGAAAAATATATTATAACTCATTAAAAAGGAGGTATGGGCCGGGCATCGGTGCCATGCCTGTAATTCTAACACTCCTGTATGCTGAGGCGGGTGGAATTGACCCGAGGTCAGGAGTGTTGAAACCAAACTGAGCAAGAGCGAGACCCTGTCTCTACTATAAAGAATTAATTGGCCAACTAATATATACAAAAAAATTAGCCGGGCATGGTGCGCATGCCTGTAGTCCCAGGTACTTGGGAGCGAGGCAGCAGGTTGCTTGAGCCCAGGAGTTTGAGTTTGCTGTGAGCTAGGCTGATGCCACGGCACTCACTCTAGCCTGGGCAACAAAGCGAGACTCTGTCCAAAAAAAAAAAAAAAAAAGAGGGGTATGAAGATTCACAAATTTTATACAGTTTTTTAAATTATTTACCTATCACTTGGATCATCTTAAAAAGATTTACATAGTTAAAAATGTTTTTATAAAAGAAAGGAAATATATTTGAATTTTAAAATTATTAGTCATTCCATGGTGGAATAAAGGGTAAATCTCTCCCCAAATGTTTTATATTCCTGTTTTTTCTAGATTTTCTATAATGAGCATATATTACTTCTGTAATAGTAAAGGAGTAAAATAACATACTTAGTCTATAACAAAGGGGAAATATGATTAAGAGATCATTCTTTTTTGTATTAAAGGCAGAACTGTTACATTTTGGCATACGATATAACTTACTCTTTCGTTTTCCAATATCCATGTCAGAGGTAGCAGCTTCACATAAAAGTACCATCCCTAAGGTAACTCCGCCATCTGAGAAAAATTGGTTAAGGAGAAATTCACACAGACACAAAAGACATACCATTTTACTATTCCTAGTTTCTCATGAAGAAAATTAAAATGAATATATAAATTTCAACTGAATTATAAAAATATTAACTAAAATCTTATATCTATACCAGTGACAATTATTTACTATGAAGATATAATTAAAATTAAGATTAGAAATTACTTACTTCATTTGTACAAGAGAAAACTGATATTTTTAGCAAATGTCCCATCGTAACTTACAGACAAAATATGAGATTTCCTGAAATTGAACTTTTGAGCAGGGGACTGGTGGCCATTCCTGTAATCTCGCCCTGCTGAAGCCAAGGCGGAAGACTGAAGGCCTGATTCAAGACCAGCCTGGGAAAATAGCAAGACCTGTCTCTACAAAGAAACAATTAAAATTTAGCTGGGCATGGTGGCACATTCCTGTAGTCCCAGCTACTTGGAGACTGAGGATAGAAGGAGCACTGAGCCAGGAGTTGGAGGCTGCAGTGAGCTAAGATCATTCTACTATACTCCAGGGCTGCAACAGAGAAATTGTTCTAAAAAAAAAAAAATTAAACTTTGAAATAACCTGCCTGGATATTCAGCAATCTCCGACCCCTACACATTAAAAAATATTACGTAGCCATTTCAAATAACATTTTATTCCCTCAATCAACATGCTTAAATATGCACCATTTTAGAAAGACTATAACTACTTCTTTGAAAAATATTAACATTTCAAAAATTTTACCAGATTTTCACCAATTAACCTTTAAAACACAAATTACACATGAGCTGCCTAATTATACCTATTCTATAAAAGGACAATTTACATGTGCTATGACTCACTTTATTCAGCTTGATAATAGGACTACATAAATACAAAATGGAACTACCATGGCAAATAGATAACACATGGCATGGTTGAATATTAAAAAAGCACAATTGAGTTTTAAAGCAAATAGATATAAAAAATGAGCCGGGCATGGTGGCGCATGCCTGTAGTACTAACTACTTGGGAGGCTGAGGCAGGAGGATCGCTTGAGCCCAGGAGATTGAGGTTGCTGTGAGCGAGGCTGATGCCATGGCACTCACTCTAGACTGGGCAACAAAGTGAGACTCTGTCTCAAAAAAATATATATATATAATGCATCCAGCAGGTTTTTATATATAGAGTGCTAAACAAAAGATAAATCACGATCTTTAATCTAAAAGGAGATCTTATAAATGATTAGGGAAGAACATCACAGTAGTGTGTGTATATATATATATATTTATTTATTTAAAATTAATATTATATAAGTATTTTTATTATTTATTTATTTATTTTTTGAGAAAGAGTCTCTCTTTGTTGCCCGGGCTAGAGTGTCGTGGCGTCAGCCTAGCTCACAGCAACCTCAAACTCCTGGGCTCAAGCTATCCCCCTGCCTCAGTCTCCTGAGTAGCTGGGACTACAGGCATGCACCACCATGCTCAGCTAATTTTTTCCATATATTTTTAGTTGTCCAATTAATTTCTTTCTATTTTACTAGAGACGGCGTCTTGCTCTTGTTCAGGCTGGTTTCGAACTCCTGACCTTGAGCGATCTGCCCGCCTTGGCCTCCCAGAATGCTAGGATTACAGGCATGAGCCACTGTGCCTGGCCAATATTTTCATTTTTTTATTTTTTCCCCCAGCATATTATAGGGGTATAAAAGTTAAGGTTACATATATTTTGGAAAAGAAAGGAGTAAGTTATATCGTATGCCAAAGTGTACACAGTTCTGCCCTTTATAAAAAAGAATGATCTCTTAATCATATTTCCCTTTGTATAGACTAAGTATGTTATTTTACTCCTTTCTATTACAGAAGTAATATATGCTCATTATACGAAGAATCTAGAAAAAACCAGGAATATAAAACATTTGGGGAGAGATTTACCTTTTTTATTCCACCATAGGAATGACTAATAATTTTAACATTCAAATATATTTCCTTTCTTTTATAAAAACATTTTTAAAACTATGTAAAATCTTTTTAAAAAGATGATCCAAGTGATAGGTAAATAAAATTTTAAAAAACTGTATAAAATTGTGAATCTTCATACCCCTCCTTTTTTTTTTTTTTTTTTTGAGACAGAGTCTCGCTTTGTTGCCCAGGCTAGAGTGAGTGCCGTGGCTCAGCCTAGCTCACAGCAACCTCAAACTCCTGGGCTAAATCCTCTGCCTCAGCCTCCCAAGTACCTGGGACTACAGGCATGCGCCACCATGCCCGGCTAATTTTTTGTATATATATCAGTTGGCCAATTAATTTCTTTATAGTAGAGACGGGTCTCGCTCTTGCTCAGTTTGTTTAAACTCTGACCTCGAGCAATCCGACCCGCCTCAGCCTACAGGAGTGCTAGGATTACAGGCATGAGCCACCATGCCCGGCCCATACCCCCTTTTTAACTGGAGTTAAATAATATTTTTCTATACATCTATTTTTTGTGTGAGACAGAGACTCACTCTGTTGCCCAGGTTACAGTGCCATGGCATCTGCCTAGCTCACAGCAACCTCAAACTCCTGGGCTCAAGCAGTCCTTCTGCTCAGGCCTCCCCAAATAGCTGGGAATAGAGGATGAGTGGCCACCATGCTGGCTAATTTTTCCTCTATATTTGTTATTTGGCCATTTTTCTTTGTTATTCTTTTATTTTTTTAGTAGATGGGGTCTCCTCTTGCTCAGGCTGGTTTCGAACTCCTGACCCTGAGTAATTCTCCGGCCTCGGCCTCCCAGAGTGCTAGGATTACAGGCATGAGCCACCGTGCCTGGCCTATATATCATTTTAAATGTATATCCTATATTCTAATTTAACCATTCTGATTTTATTAAATGTATAGGCCACCGCGCCTGGCCTATTACAATAATTTTTGTACAACCATAGATAAGTCAAAAATTTGTATTATTTTCAAATATGAGTTCTATCATAAAACCAATACAACACAGACAGCCCAAAATATCCACAAAGTGTTGGGAAAGGATGTGGCTGATGAGCACACAGTACATAGATGGTTTAAAAAGTTTAATTCTGGGCCCGGCGCGGTTGCTCACGCCTGTAATCCTAGCACTCTGGGAGGCCGAGGCGGGAGGATTGATCAAGGTCAGGAGTTCAAAACCAGTCTGAGCAATAGCGAGACCCCGTCTCTACTAAAAATGGAAAGAATAAATTGGGCAACTAATATATATAGGAAAAAAATAGCCGGGCATGGTGGCACATGCGGTACTCCAGCTACTCAGGAGCTGAGGCAGGAGGATCGCTGTGAGCCCAGAGTTTGAGTTGCTGTGAGCTAGGCTGATGCGCCACGCATCACTCTACGCTGGGCAACAAAGTAAGATCTTTCTCAAAAAAAAAAAAAAACTTTCATTCTTCTGACTCAAGGGGGGAGGAGGACCAAGGGA